GAGATTTACGGGCGACGATATCCCCTGACAGTGGCGATCGAGAAGGGAGAGGAAGGTATGAAAAAGAACGGAACGGCCATGGCCACGGTTTCACCGATTCCCTGGCAATTTATAATCCGACCATTACATCCCGATTACATCGAACCCCACAGCGATTGAATCTTAATAATTGCACTCGGAACTTATCGCGTCCCCCTCCCCGTTTGCAACAACCCGCGAGTACCACCAATCCGTAAAAAAGTTGCCGGCCTTCTTCCCGAGAGAAGGAAGAAGCGCTAATTTTCTCGCCATGTATATTTTTCCTTTTTTGCCCCTCCTCTCTTATATCTTGCCCCCCCCTATCCCCAACCCATCCTCTCATTTCTGACTCAACTTCTTTCCATTTTCTCCAGCAAGCGACACCAGTCACACAGGTTACGCGATCATCGCAAACGTCAAAAATCCATAATCGAGGGATTAATGATTTGCAAGAAATTATGTGTGTTCGTGATTCGTGATTTTTAAGAGTTACTTTCCCGCCAAATCTACTCTCCTCGCCTCTTATTTTTGCCATCCACGATTTATATTTTCGTCACGAGCTCGCCCTCCCAGATTCCTCGATTGTCGTCCCCTGCGTTCACATATCGGATCGTGACACGAGCGCGGTGCCGGTGTATAATTTCGTTGTCATTAAGATCGGCGGATCGTGCGAAAGCCGGTTAACCGCGAGGCAGGAAGAGATTCGTGGCGGGCCACGAAAAGAAGCGGGCTGATTTTATGGAGGCTCATTATCAGCTTTGCTCGTTACCCGCCTCGATTTCGTCTTATTGTTCACCGTTCAAAAACCGAGCCGTGCTTCCGTCGGCCCCTCTTTCCAACGATAAATTCGAATACCGGCCGATCCGAATCGACTCTGTAATGTTCCATGTACGATTTTCTTTACATTTTATCTCCGAGGATGATCGGGAGCGACGAAGACGACGAGAGAATTGGAATTATGTATTTTCGAAAAGAAATGTAACGGTGGGGAAAAGGAAAAAAAAAGAAACGATCGTCCAATTGATGGTATATCCGCCACGTGGTTTTGCCACGTGTTATTTAAGCGTGTCTAATTAGTGGCCTCTAATTTAGGAGAGAAAGAGATCACGAATCGCGTACATGGAAAAGGAAAGGAGGTTCTTAGTCATAGGAGAAAAAATAGATGTACGCGCGATGATGGTAGGAATGGCGGGGTTCAGAGGTCACGAATGGCACGCGAGATTCTCCAACTCCTCTGGTCTGCCTACTACCACTCGTCCTCCCACCACCTCCTCGCATTTTTACATTTCCAATTTCGAAACGCGAAAATGGAAAGAAAACGAAGAATATTCTGGGCTACGATATACACTACGTTTATACTACTACGTTTTAACTAGCGCGCTCGCGCTCGATGATCGTCGATAGTCGTCAATGATCGATCGAAGAATAAAAGTTAAAAGCGATCGAGCTCGTCCGATAATCGAAAATTCCCTGTGCTCCAGTCGCGTGACTATGCAAATCATTGGCGGCATAACCGGCAGTGACAGTGTGATAATGACTGTTACCAGTTATTGCACGATGATGTTTACGCGCCATTCCCGCCATCATCGATCACACACACACACACACGCACGATCTTGAAATTGAATAAAACGCCTCACCGGAATACGAATTGATGATTTGCCACGGGGAGGGAGGGAGAAGGAGAAAGAAAGAAAAAAAAAAAGGGAAAAAAGACGAAGCCTACGACGATCTACGATTACACCTGTACCAAGTGATTAATGGAGGCGTTTTGCGTTCATTATTACATATGCCAGTTTTCCCATATCTCGGCTCCACCGGTACAAGTCCGTTCAAAGCGGGTGTACGAGCGTATGTGAAACCGTATTCTAACCGTTTGGCCGTCGAAGTATTTTTCTCGTTTCCACTTGGTTCGCCTTTTCTTTTTTTTTTTCAAAAGTTTTTTTCAACTTTCTTTTTTTTCTTTCTTTTTTTTTTTTTCTTTTTTGCCCGCACTCTGTTCGCTGCAACACGTAGGACAGGAAATGAAAATACGCACCTAGGCTTATTCGGCAGTGGGAGAAAGGATTTTTACACTTGTCCTAATCTATCTTTTTGCACTTGCTTGATTAACTGAACACGGCGTAAAGGAGGAAACGGGCAAACCCGTGTCACGCACTCTCTCTCTTTCTCGCTCTCGCCTTCAAGGTTTACAATATAAATGCTAATGCTGCGGTATCACGGTGACGCGACGAAAGCGTGTAAAGTTGCAATTTCGACATGCATCATTGCGACGAAAAGTAAAACGAGAATTTTCGAGTGGAAAAAAAAAAAAAAGTAGAGAAAAGGAGAAAGGGGGGGAGGGGAGGAGAGGAGAAAGAAAGATACACACGGAAGAATGGAGGAAAGCTGAAGTGGGACAGGGAGGATCGGTTTTTCGCGTTTTTTTTGCGGTCGAAAGTGAACGCGCGCGCGAGGCAAATCCGCCGCGCAGTTTTTGCACGGTTTATTGCGATTTAAAGTCGATTTACGTGCGGCCACCGCGTCGTTCGGCTTTGATCATCCACGGCCAAAAAAAGTTAACGATCAATGATCGCGTGGAATCGGCCAGACTCATCTCCGGTTTCCCAGCTGCGAAACTTATGAAACACGCTACGCGCGCAACCGTTTTTCGAATTTTTGTTATATACCTCTCGTAATCGCTTTTTCTACGGTATACGCGCCTCCGGACGAAATGCATCGGTCAACCGATAGGGAAGGGAGGAGGAGGAGGAGGAGGGAGGAGGGAAAGAAACGTCTCCACGGTGCGAGAACAGTTGACGCATTGATTAGACCTCTGGTCCACCGGTGAAAAAAATACGAGAAAAAATAGTGCCCGGTTGCGGCTCGACCGAGCCTAAGCACCCACTCCCTTTTCGATCCTTTTTTTCTCAAAGAGTTCTTTTCGGGAAAAGAAGAAGGGAATAATGTCGGGGAGAGGAGAGGACAGAAAAGACTTGTAAATATGTCGAAGAGGAGCGGAGACGAGGGAAAACTGGTTGGAGAAACGATAAAGGAAGGGACGTGGAGAAAAAAGTAAGAAAAAAGAAAAGTGAATTTTCCTTCCTCCGTTATATCTGACGTAGTTAAGCTAATCCTATTCTCTTCCGTACGAGCTCGCAGTTGTTGCGAGTCGTGCATAGGCGAGTGAAGTTAGGGAAAAAAAAAAAAAAAAATAAAGGGAAACGCATTTTTTTTCACGGTTAGATGATTGACAGTCGGCCTCGGCGAACAACGTCCATGTTCCAACGTCCAAACGAGAAATAAATAAAATATTCGTCGACCCGTTTCAAATTTCAGGGTAAGGGCGCGCGATTCTCTCTCTCTCTCTCTCGACGCTTGACAAGAGTACGTCGTAATGGCGTACGAATCTCGGATGCTTCGTCGATGCTGCAATTTTACGCGAACGTGACTCAGATACGTAGGTACACGCGAAAGTGGAAAGACCGGGGAGGGAAATGGTAGCAAATTTCACGCGTGCACCTTCTCACCTGTTGCACGAAATGCATCATTGATACGCGATCGCTCGTTTCGAACATCGTTGACAAAGGCCTCTTTTTAATTTTTTCTTTAATTTTTTTCACATCGAAAACGCGTATTTCGACACGCGACGATTACACGCGTACATAAAAAAAAAAAGATAATAATAATAATAATAACAATCAAAAACTGAACGCGTAAAGTTGCGAAAAGTAAGAATCTTTTTGAAAGACCGGTGAAAAAAAAATATAACGATGCAACGGTTGATGCAACTTTCTAAAGTCCAAATTAAAAAAAAAAAAAAGAAATTGCTTCAGTTCCGACAGAGGCTGCTGCCATCAATGATTATCAGTGGCAAGTCAACGCGTCAATCATAATTCTTTTTTAATTGCACGCTACTCGCTCGTCCGTTTTCCACGTATCAGATGCGATACACGCACAAAGAGAGACAATGTAGAGAAACCGTACGAAACCTCGCTTCGTAACTTATCTCTCTGACAAACGCGCAAACAATGTATTCATTTGCATGTCGCGTATTACGTAAATATCCCTGCCGCGTATTATGACGAGCGCGGGCTACGCTCGAGGAGTGGAGGAATAAACTAATCTCCGTCGTATCGCGACGAGTGGATCCAACCTTTTTTTTCTTTTTTTCCTCCGTTTAAAGAACGTCATTTTTGCGCTCGATTCCCTCTCGTCCCTTTGGCCACGCTCTCTCAAAGCTTTTTACCGCGCGTAATCTCGCGTTTTATCCTCTGCCCCCGCTCTTCTTCCACACCGTTACCGAGCTCCTTCATAACGTTTTATCGAAAAATGGGATGGGATGGGGGGATGGCCGGCCGAGAGCAAATGGAGCGTCGAAAAATATTTATTCGAGCTCTCGTTAATTTTCATGCGCAAAACGAACAAGACATCGATCGTATATTTATAAACAAGCGATCGAGGACGCTAAGTCGACGTCGTATAAAGGCGATAAAATGTCTATGACCGAGTTTCAAAACGAACTTTGACCGCATTTCTTCACCAATTCGATCAAATTCGCTTTATCAAGGATTCTCGAAGCGTATTCGCGAAGCGCAACGTTACGAGCGCATCGAGCCGAAAGAAATCGAAGGTGGCCGCAGCGAAGTCACTTTTGAGATAATACACGAGGAGAATTTCGTAACGAGATTTCCCTTCTTTCTGGCTGGAAGAAAAGTGTGAAGAAATCTTCATGTTTCTTTCTTTTTTTTCTTTTTCTTTTTTTTTACATCGAGCATAATCGAAGCGAGAACGAGAATCTTTATTAAGAAAATAATCGATCGAATATACGATGTCTCTATTTCGAATTCGAATATTTCTCTTTGCTCTCGTTTCTCAAACGTTCCTATAAAACGATAAAACGCATATCAAACGATTCCAAATACATGGATGACACAGATGATGACAATTATACGATTACGATATACGATCCCCTTCCTCACTCTAAAATCAACGATCAACTAATGATGGCGGAGAGGAGGAGTCGTGAATCCAGAGGGATGATCGAGACGCGCGAATCGAAAGGCGTCAACGTCCAACGTAGAAACGTGTCAGCGCTCACGGTCACGGCACAGATACGTCGTAGGTCAAGAGATCGCGGCGCGGTTTTGCAAAAAGGCAAAAAGTCGAAACGTACCTGTCATACACGCCGTTCTCTCGCTCCTTCTCCCGCTCTACATGTGGCTTCTCTTTCACGCTCTTTCTCGCTCTTTCTCTCTCTCTGTCCCCCTGTTTGGTCAGGGCCATGCGTCATCGGCGCAGAATCGCTGCGCTTTGGAGGAACGTGGACGGTGGCGAAGAAAGAGCGTAGCAGGGCCAGCGTAGACAGCAGCGAACAGCACCGTGCGCTCAGATATTTGGCGGGCTCGAAAATAGCAACAGCGTTGTCCTCTATGGTGTTCGCTGCACTCCCTCCTTCTTCTTCTCCTCCTCCTTCTTCTCCTCTTCTTCTTCTTCTTCCTCTTCTTCCTCTTCTTCTTCTTCTTCTTCTTCTTGGTCCGCGCGCCACTGGCAGCCTCGAACCGCCCGGTAACTCGCTCGGTCGCTTCACCAGTTCGCACTTTTATATACCACGCACTCGTTCCCGCTTGTCACTTTGCTTTTCCGCGATGCGTCGTCGTCGTCGTCGTCGTCGTCGTCGTCGTCGTCGTCGTCGTGGTGTCTCGTCGTTGTTCCTTTCGTTGCGATCGCTTTCCGCCTTTTTCTCTCACTCGATCACCAGCTGCGTGTATCTCCGGATGCCACTCGCGACGCGATTATCACGTCGATACCACGCTCGACGACCGTTTCCACCATTAGATAACTTCGAGTTACGAGTTCGCCCTCGAGCACGTATCTTATGCTCGAGCTTATCGAATCGAGACGGTCACCAACCAGCCTTCTTCCTCCACCTCGTAAATCTTCCCCCGTAAATCTCGCGGAAATCTATCCTCCTATCCCCAGCTTTTCCTTCCTAGCTGGCCTCAAACACTCGTCGTCCACCGTTCCATTTCTCTTCCCTTCGGCATTCCTTCGCCCTAACCTAACCACCCGCTAGCTTCGATTCCCCGTAAGCACCGACATGTCTCTCCAAATATACATATACATATATATATATATACCGTGTAGAAACGTGTAGAAACGACACGATCGATTTCCACCCGTCGACGACGATACCACCTATCCGAGATATTTGGCAGTGATCGATTCGAGTGATAATAATAATGATAATAATAATAATAATAACAACAATAATAATAATAAATTCGAATGATAACGATAACCGGGTCGTGAAGCGCGTGTATGTGTGTGTGTGTGTGTGTGTATGTGCGTGCGCGTGTGTCCACTTGCTCCCTCGCTCCGTTGCGCTCTCGCGGGTTCGCACGTGCACGCGGCTCGAAACGCAGGTATCGTGGCGAGAGCAGAGCGAGAGAGAAACGGAGAGATGCTCGCGGCTCCGCGGTTCGCGCGCGACTGACCGAGGGCGAGAGTCGTTATTGGGAGCAGAGCGCCGGTGAAGTCTGTTCGCCTCGGCTGCCGCCTCTCTCTCCACCCCCTGGTTGCCGCGTTGCACTCGCCCTCTCTCCACCCTCCTGCCGCCTCCACCGTCGCCAATCGCTTTTCCCTCTCTCTCTCTCTCCTCCTCCTTCCCCTTTTTCCTGTCTCTCCGACTCTCTCCTTCTCCCGACTCGTTCCGTCTCCTTCGCTCGCTCGGTCCGATCGTGCAGCTCTTCGCTCTCTCTCTCTCTCTATCTTTCTCCCTCCCTCTCCTTCTCTTTCCACAGCGCTCACTCTCCTCGGCTCCCGTTCGACGCGGAGCAGGCGCGAAACGAACGAACCGAACTTAAGCTCTCGGCTGTCGCCTCCTCCGTCGTCTCTTCTTGCGCTGCTGGCTCTGCTTGCTGGTACTGCTGCTGGTGCCGCTGCTTCTGCTGCTTCTACTCTCCCTCTTTCTATCTCTATCCATCCGCGCGCGCCTCCTCCTCCTCCTCCTCTTCCGCGCTTTCCTTCTTACCTTTCTCCTTCTCCCGATTCTCTCTCTCTCTCTCTGTGTCTCTGTCGTTCCTCGTCCGACCACAACACCGCGGCCAAAAGAGCCTGGTGGCGTATCTCCGCGAGAGGGGAGGAGAGAGAGAGAGGGTTTCTCTGTGCACAGGCCTCGTTCGAGTCGAAGACACTGTCCGAAACTGGTTGGCGGAGATGGCCCGCCACTCGTTTCGGCATCGTAATCAACCGGCCAGACTGCTGTTCCACACGGCCACCCATCCCCTCCGCGATCATCGTTCGTTCTCACCCTACTTACCCACCCCTCTTCTTCTGCGTTCCAGACGAATCTCGGACGAGGGAATGAGTCCCTGATGCGCGTTTACGCGGCCCTCCGCGGGTTCGGGACCCGAATCCTTGGCAGCTGCTCGATCGCTTCAAAGATCCTGCCTCCCCCCCCCCTCCTGCCCTTCAATCCGCTCTGCCAACGCCGCTGCGTTTTTTGCGCTTTCTTCTTAACTACGCGCTTGCCCACGAAAACGTACGTGTGCCGACCGTTTTAACGGGACGACGATACATGACTGTAGTGGTAGTAGTAGTAATAGTCGTAGTAGTAGTAGTAGTAGTAGTAGTAGTCCTCTCCCTCCCCCTACAGTTTCAGAGAGCAGCCGTGAAAAAAGGAAGAAAGGAAAAAAAAAAAAAATAAGAAAAAAAAAGCGAAGAATTCGAGTGAAAGTAGCGTTGTAACTCGTAACGCTGATCATAGCATCGCGTACAAGTTGACTGGGGTCTCGCGTAACTTTGCTATTTACGCTCATCGCTGCGGGACATTGTGCCTGCGTTTAAAATTTACCCGTAAATTGTACGGTACGATCCGTCCGACCGATCGAGATCCATTTCCAGTTCAAGTATATTCAGAGCGTTGGTTATACGCAATTCCTCTCCTATCCGTTCTTCGTTTCCATGTATTTTTTTTTTCATTTTTTTTTTTTGTTTTTTATCTCTGCAATAACGAAACGAACGAACGATGGAATTCGCGGTCGCGCGCAAAGGTAAACTCAGCGATGAAAGTCCTCCCATAGAAAGCGTAGAAAAGGAAAAAGCGACTTCCTAGCTACGATCAAATTACTTCCGATAGTACGGCAATGGAATTCAATTTCGTTTTCTGTTCCCAATCGGCTTGTTCGACTCGTAATCACCGATATTGTCCTTTGCGGTATTTTTCAAACCGCAAGAACCGCGTTCACCGCCTTCGTTCGAAGTTTCCGTGTAAATTCGAGTTTGGATTCCACTCTTGGACCTTTACGTAACATCGGCCGTAACGAGACGGTCTTTCCCGAATCGGTGAGACAAGTTGAGATTAATTAAAGAATATCCGTCGAGCGTGTCGTGTACAAACAACTCGTATTATTCGTTGTAAATCTCGGGGGAAAAAAAAAAAAGAACTTGGACGCGAAGAATAATACATGGCGAATATTTTCGAAATTGAGAAGAAAAACGGGGAAATATTTATCGAACATTTCAAAATGTGGAACGCGTGATCGATACGAGCGTACAATTTTAATCATCGTGCACAATTATTAAGATTCGTTTCGATTCGTTTCGATCGCTATCTCTCTACCAGAGATATTGTATCCGGTACTTTTATCGTGCCCCAATGAAACTGCAACTTCCTTCCCCATCGATGAATAGAAACGTTCGTTGTATGGCATAGCACGCGCTCGCCGGTGATTTTAATCGAAGGCGAACGCGATCCCCGCTTTAAATGTATTATCTTTTTCGATACTTGTACTACACGCTGTTCGATCGACTCTCGCATACTCGGCCGTAGTCGTTCGCACCTGCGAATCGTTCCAATCGGCTCGGATAACACGCGAACAAAGTGTGCACCGCGTTCCACGGCGCTGAAATTGCCTCCAATTTTTCTCTCCCGGCCGAGAGAGAAACTGGAAAATCGAGGCGCAAAAAGCGTTTCGAAGCGGGCATGCGCCGAGATGTATAATATGCCTCCCTCCTTTCCACCGTGTACAATGGTCCTTTGCTAGTCATCCGCGCGATGGATTCTTCTCGGTGCAACCGATTATCACGCACGCCGTATTCGCCCGATCCATGAATGGACTCGTTATAAACCACCGCGAATCGGCGCTTTTCGGTCCGCGCGGTGAATTTTTTCGGCGAGACACAAGGGCAGCACGTGTTAACGCGAAGAGGGAAGCGTTGTGCGGTCGAACAACAGGTGTATCGCCATCTCGAGGCGATTTCACGCGAATTTTACTCGATCGTTTCGAACGATTATTCGTCGAGTATACGCAACGCGACGAAAACTCGTACGAAAGATCGTAGAAAGTGCAATATTCGACAAAATATATAGAAGATTCCTAAGATTCGAGCGAGAAACGATTCTCGATCCAATCTCGCACACGAAAAGTTAGCTGGTATATTAGCGAACCACGATTTTAGTTATTCATCGCGACACTCTCATCGATGAAGACGACAACGGCAACAAATGATAACACGTGCCGGAGCCTCGATGCTCGACCGAGTCAAAATATTCGCAATAAAACGAGCATAAGCTTTATGATCCTTGCCTCTCTCTCTCTCTCTCTCTCTCTCTCTCGTCCTCTCGATGGTTCGCGTGCCGATTGGCATTCAGCTCGTCTCGCCGCGGCGAAATGCGCTCGTACATGTATACGTGGATCCCGGCGCACGTAACGCAGCCAACACGCGTCGACGTAACACACCACACCACGCGTCCAGGCATCGACACACGGGGGCCCCCGCTCGATTGAACGGCGGCGGCGGCGGCGGCAGGTATGCGTCGCGACGCGACGCGACACGACGTGCGAGGAACCCGACGGTACCGTTATACGAACACCGTCCACGGAATCTTGTATAGACCGAGGAACGGAATCCACGGTGTGGATCCCAGTCGGACGAACATCGTATTTCACCAACTTTCCCTTCTTTCAGGGGGAGGGTCGAAGAGCTTTTCTTCTTCTTCTTCTTCTTCTTCCTCCCCCTCAGATTGGTGTAATCCCTTTTTCCCTTCGATTTTTACGATGTAAGATGAAGATTTTGAGAAACTAACACGCTCTTGGAAGTCAAGCCGAACGATCGGTCGCGTCGATTTTCTATCCACTCGTGCGCAAGCGCGATTAATTCGAGGAGAATATAGAACAGGAACAAAATTCTTCGATCGTTCGTTCGTTCAATGATCTCGTTTTGCCAACTATATCGTCGATACCTGTTCTCCAATGTGTTTCGCGAAACACGTGCATTTACGCCGTCCATTATAATGCAGATCGGAGAAGGAAAAAAAAAAAAAAAAAAGGAAAAAGAAAAAGAAAATTCCAAATATTTAGGTCTGTTAGGAGGAGGAGGGAGGGCCGCGTTTTTTCTTTCTTTTTTTTTTCTTTTTTTTTAATGGTAACCTGTACGTGAATCCTATTAACATAAATGAAAGGGTTATGCTCCGCATTCCGTAACGAATGGGGATTGACCTTCGTCAGGATAACGTGACCTTGATACCTTCTATAAGAAATATATCGATATGTATATATTTGTGGTAAGGGGTAGCCACGTTCTCCTCACAAGTGAAAGGGCTACTAGAGATCGGCTGTGCCGCGATTCTTACCGCCATTTCGAGAGTTCGATCAACGATTGGAAGAATCGGATTAACCGGATCAGTTTCCAGGAAAACCGTGCCCGTTCAAAGGGGAATATTTTTGCAAATGAAAATTTATGCAACGGCCGGCCGGGAGAGACTGGAGAGAAGGGTCTGTTAAAGATAGATGCAGCGCGCAACGGAGGAATTAATGGCGGCTCCTCTGTATCAATTACACGCGGTATAATATACCAGGAAACGTCGAACAATTATTGTTGTCTGGCCCACATATTGCGGCCTGCAACATCGTCTGGTCGTCCACTTGCCTTCATTGCACTTGTCGAAGGTTCGCAATTTTTCTCTCCCGTCCCGTCAGTACATGTTTCTTCACTTTCTCCGATCTTTCGCCAATCCATCTCTACAATTATTATCTTTCTTTTCGAATGAGACGAATAGCCGAATGGAAAAATCGTGTGGACGCGAGTATCGTATCCATTTTGTTCTAAAATCTGTGCGACCGATGAGATTCACGGACGGTACCAGTGTAGAAGGGCGAAGAAAATATTCCTGTCCCCTATTTAGATTAGTTAGAGTAGACGTCTCTACAATTAATTTGTTTATCGATAGGAACGACATCGTAGACCTAGACGAACGTTCATTGGAGCAAGCATGAAA